CATTGATATAAAATAATTAGTATAATTCAAGAACCATTTAGAAATTGGAGCACGCATGATGCATGTATGAATTGAGCCTAAAAAAAAAAAAAAACACCCAACAAAAAGTTAAATACAAGGTTAACTCCCTTCCTTGAGATTTAGACAAATCTCACATGGTGGGAGTGTTTGAGGTTTATTACTCTGACTTCCTTTAAAATTATAAAATGTTAATTATATCCTTACATGTAATACATTTTTTTAATAAAATATATATTATAAAATGTAAAAAAAAAAAAAATCAATTTTATATCTCATCTCTCTCATCTCCACTACCGAATTTTTTTTACAAGTTCTGATAGGAGGGAGGTTGTTAAGCATACACCCAAACCTCAAGAGAAGTCAAAACAATAAATCTGAAACCCTCCACTTATATATAGAAAGGGAAGGTTATTCAAACCTGCATTTGGAGCTTTCAAATCATAGTCTCATGTGAAATTGAAATTACAGTGCACAAAAATGGCAAGTAGTCACAAATATTTACTATATATGGAAAAATTTTACCAAACAAATTAAAGTGGACAAAAATGGCAAGTAGGTAACACATATTTACTATTTATGAAAAAAATTACCAAACAATCTTTAATTTGTAGCTAGCCCTTTAAATCGTGTACTAAAATTCTAAAATCTAAATGCATTGCTCAAAGTAATGCCTTGTTCCAATGAACTAGGACAATTTGGTCATCAAATTTAGATGAGGTATGATTTTTCACATGATCATTATAAATACTTTACCTAACTTCATATTATAACTATTGAACTTTAACATTTTCACATAAAACTTAATCTGAGGCTGCAAAACACACATTTGAGCATTTTTCAGACTAAAAAGCCAAAGAAATTAACCCATAATTATTGCCTTTTCAATTAGTACCCCAAAAGTTTTAAGTGTAAACTAAAAAATTAATTGAATCATATTAAATAATTACTGATCACACAATTTCTTAAATTATCTTTTTTCTTCTCTTTGACCAATTGTAAACAAGGGAAGAAGAGTTGTCATCTTTGTCTAGTAGCAGGGAAGGTTAAATCCTCTCATTCAATGTAAAATATCACAATCTATATATATATATCCTCTATCTTTCATTGTATAATTACAATCTAATATATACTTATCAGTCTCATATATAGGTCATCTAGATCTCATGTCAGTCAAGAATGATAGTATATGGAAGGTGTTTGAGAGACTTAGCCCAAACAATAGTCAGAATCTCACAAATATCTAAAAGTAAAAGCACAGATCACTACCTAACATGCACATGACATCTTTATCCAAAAGAGAATAATGTTGGGGATAAAAGCTTGCACATGATATGGTATATATATCTCTAGTCTCCATTTATTTGTATTTTTTTTTTTTTTTTTTGGCACTAGATCTTGCCTAGCTTGAATATTCTTTAATAAAACAAATTCAAGTTCAAACTTCTTTTCTTTTTTCCCTCTTTTTTTCTTTTGGTGGGGTGTTACATACTACAAAGAAATGCATATATATATATATCAGAAATGAATGCATATATTTCTTATGAAAGTATTTGTGACAAAAACATAATAATGTAGCTACAAACTGTTCTTCCAACCATATTTGAGATGAGGAAACAAACTGCTATCAAAATCTATCGCTGTGGGAGAATTATTTACGAATATAAGTATCATAAATATCTTCACTTTTCGCCAGTCTTTTTCTGCATTGTAACATGTTAATGCTGAACTGAAAAATAAATATTGTCATCAGATAGTCGATCATAATTACTTGTTTGTGACTTTTGTTGAATCTTTACGCTGTTTTTGTTGATGCATGTACATTATAAGTGCTCGAAATTAATTCTTTGTAATGACATTTCTTCTTTTTTGCAATGAATTCCTACCATTTAGCACTACCTATTTTTTTCAAGAACAAGGATATGCTGCTAACTTTGATAAATACATTCCACCAAGTAAAACAGGAATATTCTTATTCTCTCTCTTTCTCTCGCTCTAAATATAACATTTAATATATAACAAATTATTTCTCAATGAAAAGTGATTATATTGTTTGTAGTTCAATTCTGTATCCAGTAGTACATGTACCTCCATAACATTCTTTATTGATGGAAGCAAACATAAAAAGTAAAATTTACCTTAATTGTTCACCTTAAAATCTTTTACTTAATTAGCTATATATACACATGCATGCAAGTTGTGTTAGGTCAGTATTACTATAATCATACAAAAGGATCTACTTAGCTAGCTTAGCATATTATAAATAAGCTAGATAGGAACAAGTAAAAAGTTATAGAAACATGAGAGTTCCTGCACTATACTACTATGCGTATCACATTCAATAGATGAAGTTAGATAACGAGATCCACATGAGAGCTTCAGTATTATACAATATGTATCGCGTTCAATAGATAAAGTTAGACAGTGACGACTTTATGTATCAGTGGGATAAAGAGAAAGTCTTTAGGGTTGTGAAATTTCTTTCGAGTACAAAACAATGATTTATTAATTTCGATTAATTTGATAAGGGTCTCTCTCAACATCATTACTTTATGGGCAAATATATAAGATCTTGGGTAAAGTGTACATTGATAAACCATTTATGGAAAGGCAAGCCCTAGATCTGCTCCTTTCTCTGCAAGAAAGTTGCAGTGATGCTATATGTATTGTAAATTTGGTTTGAATGAAAGCAAAGCACTTGGAAGAGCCATGAGGCTTTGGTATGGAGGTCTAGCTGAGCTGGTACAAGATATGTGTGTTGCATCACTTGTGTGTGTGTGTGTGAGAGAGAGAGAGAGAGAGTTGCCGAAGGGTATGTGGATTTTTGTGGTACATTCTCCTAGGACATGAGATGAGCTTAGGGGGCTATCTATTTTATGGGCCAAAGAGGACAAAGTGAAAGTGATGGTAAAAGAGAGATGCTTAACGGTCTTTTAGGTTTTGCAGGTCTCTCTCTCTCTCTCTCTTAATTGAATTGAAATTGATATGAATTTGTGGGGTTTGTGCTCTCCACTTTGCTTGGGAAGCGTAGCCAAACTGCCAAAAGCTATGGGCTTCTCATCGATGCATGCTCACTTCACATGGCACCCTCTCTCTCTCCCCCGCTCTCTCTCTCTCTCTCTCTCTCTCTATATATATATATATATATATTGAGTGTTTAACATAATTCTATATGTAATGATATATTTATAACTTTGTTGCAATGTTTAAGTTTTCAATGAGATTTATATTAACAAGTTGAGATGTCAATGCACTTTTTGAAGTACTAGTACTATATATGCAAGTCTGTAATGATGCCGCTAGGGTTTTAGTTTAAAAAATGAGTTTAGTACTTGCTAATTCTTAATTATTTACCCAGGTTTTGGGGGCATCATTCTAGGTTATATATATATATATATTAATTTTTTAGAGTTTACTAGTATTAATTTTGGGGAATCAGTTTAGTTGTTACTATTTAATACAATTAATATTGAACATAATACAGTGAATAAACCCATAGGAAATTGCCTAGCTTTACATTCCTTTTGCCCCTAGTTTTTGTTCATTGAATTACAACATATCATATATAGCCCATTGTACCTACGACCGACCTACACACCCGAAAAATATTAAGTATTCCGGAAGTACCGATTATACAGTTATCCGGCCAATGTTTACTAGTTGCATTTTGAATATATATATATATATATATATTATTACTCAAATTGAACTACAAATTACAGCATTAATATTTTCAAACCAACCTTTGGGCCTCACTGCCCCAGGGAAACTTTACTTTAATCTCATGTAAATGGGTCCATATGTACCCGGTCAACAAATATCTGAACAAAAATGAAATGCATAGCATCAATAATAGGACATGGTGGGTATGAATTATATTTCAGGACAAAAAAGAGAGAAATAATAATAATAATAATAAATTTTGCAGTGCATAGACCTTCCTAGGCCCAAATTGGGGCAATTTCAAAATTTGGACCACAAAACTTGAAGTACTCTTGCCAACCCCACCTGGCTCAGCCCAAAATAGTAGGCTTCCAGATGTGCCCGTTTGGGGTTGCATTCCAAATAAACTACTATGTAAGTAGATGATGGTCCACAGCTAGGCCTGATCTGTATTTATATGCCCACTATACCTTTGGGACTCTGACCGAATCATACACTAGCTCAGCTCTTCGATCGTCTGAGCCCCGCCGTGTGACCACATGATCCAAGGACTGAGCTCACACATTCGTAACTCGGGGTTTTTTTTTTTTTAGTAAATTACACGTGACCACCTCTCCTAAAGTTTGAATAGGGGTTTTTTTTTTTTTTTTTTTTTTTTCGGTAAATTACACTTGAGCTCTCCTAAAATTTGAACAAATTACATACAATAAACCATTCAGCATTTATTACTTTAAACTCCGTGAGAGTTGGTGTATGTTCAACACCTCTATTACAGTAAACTGTCCTCTATTACTTTAAACTCTCCAGAGACTTGGTGGCTCAACACCTCTAGCATTTTCTTTTCGACAAACATGTTTACCAAATTTTACAAAATGACAATTTTATTCTTTCCCTTATAGGAAAATCTTACCCTACCCTTATGAAAATTAAGGCAAAACTGACTTTTCACACTAAGTCACCTTCCAATCACCAAGAGATTAAGATCAAAGAAATAAACGTTGAGGCCGTGTAATATTTTCAAATTTCAATATTATTTTTAGAATTGGGCCAGCCAACATCCTTTTTAGAATCAGGCCCATCTCATCATTTCGTAGCTTACTTGTGAAGGTTGAATGGGCCCATGGCTGGTATATTTTAAATGTGACACATGGTGACCAAATTTTAAATTAAAAAAAAAAAAAATGTTCATATAGATTTTGGACACTGCAAATCACTGCTCTTGTATAATGAAGCAGGAAGAAAAGGACATTTATTTGGAATAGGGGGATATACCTATTTGTTACGGGTAAGAAGTTTAATTTTTTAGAACTTAACACACATTTTCAATAAGCAATCAAACGACGTCATTTTATACTCCTAATATTACAATGAATATCCGAGTTTCAAACTAAAAAGTTGTAGCGTCTTAGAATCCAACTCAAATTATGTTACACGGCAGTCAAAAACATGATCATCTAAATACTGAAATGGAAGATGTCATGTAAGCAAGACCAGGACAATAAAAAAAATTCATGTAAAGAATACCGTCCTGTGTATAATATCGACCTTCCTTTCGAGAGGACATCCATATTTCAGTCCTCGCTTCCTCCAACAAAGTTGAAATTTCTTTCAACCGTCATAAGTTAGCACTGATGGCTTCATCTTCAATATTCTCAATGACAGTAAAGCCTGATCACTGAATCAGCACCAGCTGTGAATAACCACGGTTGCCTTGGGTGGAACTCACAGTCCAACACTCCTGCAACAGCCATAAATTAATTGACAACTACCAACTTAGAATCAATAACATATTGGACAAAATCAAACAAGAAATATGCTAAGGAAGTAAAACGAAAAACCACGCAATACATTGAACACGGATATTTTTTACATGGTTTGGCTTACAGCCTACGTCCATGGATGAGGATGATGAAAACATTTCACTATGTGAAGAAGAAAATATATGCACAAGAACGAAAGCTGTATAGAAATTTGTTTGGTTGTGAGTTAAAAAGGCCTATTTTCAAAAAAATGTCTGTCTTCTACAATTCTCTGAAAACGGTTATCTATTTCAAAAAACTGAACCAAACAAACTCTAATTCTCTCAAAACATAACCTCCAATGCACCATTTTGCCTCACTCTATTTCGGGATTTTCACAATTCAACCTGAAAACAATACAAACCCTAACACCTGTCTATATATACTGTGATACCCTAGAGATTAAGAACCGAGAAAACTCAAGACAAAATGGGTCAAAAACATGAGGAAAAAAAATCGTATCATATTGAAATCGAGTTGCAACGTGACCCAAGCCTTCAATTTGGGCCACAACTCAAAAATATAAAGTATTCACAAGAGTGCAACCTATATTCCATCTTTATTCCATTGTGTTATAGCCAATCAACAAAATGCTACATCTAAAGAGTCATTATTCACTATGATTCCTGTTAATCGAGGATTCTAGAGAGAGTTAGATGCAAACATAAACTATGTCACTATTTGCACAAAGTGGTGGCTCTCAAGACTCAGATCCACGTTCAACTTATTAATAGATTCCAGAGTAGCATCAAAATGGTATGGATTGGACATCACTCCTTTGACCTAAAACCATATTTCATAGATGAGCCCATCTTAAAATTTAACTACAACCTGAACTGAGATCCAAAAATTGTTTATCTTGCTTTGTTATGTATGATACAATTACATATAATACCTTTATAATCTAAAAAATTCATTAAATATATATACATATGTAAAATTTGTTTAGACATAATTTTTATGAACAGGTCAGCCAGACCAACTTTGTTTACTCAAATTGGCCACCCAACACTCATGGATTTGAAACCCAAAAAAAAAAAAAAAAGGGGGGGGGGGGGGGGGGGGGGGGTGTCTGAACAAACAAACTGATCCAGGTTGGACTTGTCTGTCTCGTTAGAACAACCAAACCCCAAACTCCACAGCCATGCAGGGAGAACAACCCACTCCCCCTCCCCTCCAAAAAACAAAAACAAAAATAAAAAACACCACAAATAATACTCCCTCTATATTATATATAACAATATAAGAAGTTTAAGTACATCCTCCATAATCTGGAAGAGCATGGCAATTTTCCTTCTCTTAAATTATATATAATGACGACAAAGGAATTCCAGAGGTATGAAAATTTTTTGTAGAGACACTGCAATCAAGTCATCTAACTTGACTTTGGGGATCTACATGTGTTTGTGACCAAGAAAATGGAAGCCAGCTGGGAAAGAGTGCTCATATTTGATTCAAAATCGTGCTGGCTGCCAATTAGTCAGACTGACTAACTTCTCTCTAATAAAATGAGCATCGTGTTCCATACCACCTCTAACTTTAATTTCATCCACAACCACAGAAGAAAAAATTGCAGATATTTAAAGCACTAACCTCGTCCATTTGAACTTGTGTGGCCTCGGAGAATTTCCAGAGGTACAATAAGAGGGTTCTGGTTTAGATCCGAGTAAACCATGCCATGGAAAATGTATGCTGTGCAATCATCAGAGCATGAAGCAAATAGAGGGTAGGAACGATGGAAAGCCACATTGGTAATATCTTTTGGATGACATCTGAGGATTTTGAAAACAACATCACAGCAATTATATATTATCACATGTAAAAAAGAAAGATAAAAAGGAAAATGAGACATATGCGCCTGGGGGCTAAGTGTGCTGGTGCTCAACGAAACATGAATTTCAACTTGGGTTAACTATATAAAACTTTTCCATCATCCAGCACAATATAGAGCTTTAACCTTTGTATACACAACTTTTTATCTATACATCTCCATACATGTGGAACGTGCTCATGCACAAAGCTAGTTATTACAAATTCTTTAGCTAATGTGACATGAGTCATGGAATTTGCTTAAAATATACAGACTCTGCATAAACCAAGTGTACTTGAGAAACTCTTGGTTTATACTGCATAAACAAAGTTTTTACAGTCATGAGAAAGATGTAAAAAATTATTATCTATTTTTACAAAAATAATAATAAAGTAACTACGTACTTGAGAATTCTGTAAGGTTGAGATGAAAGATCCATGTCAAACCAACACAATTTTCCTTCTCTGCTCCCAACAATAACATTATCACCTGCTTGGAGGGGGCGTCTCAGACATTTTAATAGATTAACATAAAAATAGTCATACACATACGATAAGACAAATGGAAGACTTGAAGTAACAGTAACAATATGAAAGAACGAGTGTTAATAAAAAAATGAAAATGAACAAATAGCAATTAAGAACATACCACCAGGATGGATTGCAATGGAGGAGACCTCACGGACCCCAGTCTCAAGCTTCTTGATGAGTTTCTGCTTCAACAGATCATACACACGGACATTCTTCTTCGTTGAAATGAAAAAGATCGAACGAGTTGGATGGAAAAAGGACGAAACTGGAAGCCCATGCAACTTGAACGTATTTTTTAGGGTAACTTTCTTTGAAAGCTGGTGTATTGATATTGCTCTTGAATCACGTAATCGGAAGTCAAGGAATGGGCAAATAAACCAAGTGTAAATTGCTAGCTTTCAGATGCCACTAGCAAAAAAAGTAGTCTGATACTATGGTCAGATCATGGCACGTGGCATCTGAAAGCAGTACAATTTTATTTTCAATTACTCTTACATGCAATGATTTTAATCATAGTATCACGTTGGTACAAGGTCTACCGAGATAAATTAATCATCAGAATTATATATGGTATAGGAGCTGGATACAATTGTAAAGAAAAGATCACTAAGTGCACAAATTAGGAACAGTGACATGGTCGACATTAAGGGTAATGCTAGGGAAAAGGGAAGTCCAAAATTAACATAGTAAGGCTTTGTTGATATGGTGGTGTGGTTTGACTGAGACTGCGACCTTGAAAAAAGAAGAGTGGAAAAATAAGATTCATGTAATCACCCCAAGTAGTTGGTAGAAGGATTTGTTTTGTTGAGTTGAGTTGAGCAAATCACCTTGCTTTTTCCATGACAGCGCAAAGACAACTCATAAATTAAGTTCTTTTTATAACCCAAATTTCAACAAATGGGTTCTTCCACTCGATTCTAATATGAAAACATTAGAAGTTAAAACTATGTAAACACAGACACAAAGTGTAAATTGTCGAGAGTAGACAGACACAAGGTGCTTGACAGAACCACCTTAAAATATCAAGACAATGACAATGTAAACATCAACACATATTACTTTTTGCCTAGTAGGTTAAGGCATGCCTTTTTACTTATCACCAGTCACACTTCAATAAATCGACAGGAACAAAGGTCTTCACAATTAAATGTGGATGGGGGAGAAGGAAGAGAGAGGAGAGAGGGGAGACTGTATACTACTAAAATTGGGTTCAATTCCACAAGCCATCACACACACAAAAAGATATTAATAATAAGACTAGATTAAAAAAAAAAAACCTCAACTCCCCAGAAATCTGCACACACACTAGCCAACACACGCGGCCGCCGGGGGGGGGGGGGGGGGGGGGGGGTTACAAATAACTTATGCCTGTCAGCAATTCAACAATTAGAAAAAACCAATACAACAGGAAGAAGGATATCTGATGGCATTACTGTAGAGAAATAGTCTCCTTTTCGATGCCATTCAACGGATGACACAGACTGCAAGATCCCAGGAAAATAAGCAATCAAATTCTTAGTATGAAAGCCTTCTAAATTTGATGAGTTGAACTACAACAGAATGAATGATAATGTCACAGTACCTTAAAATGTGTTAATCTGATTCCCTCGAGCTTGTCATCTTTAGCCCAGCTCAAGATAGATGTGCTATTACCTATACAAAAAGAATATATTATAAAAGTTTTGTGTATATTATGAAATGTTCAAAACAGTATCCAATACATGTACAATGTTGGACTTAGTCAACATTCACAACGACCCGAGTTACCTGGGGCTGTAGGTGGCTCGACGTGAAAAAGTTCTTTAATCCTTTTCTGTTCTTCTTCATTCCCCAATCCAGTGTTCAAAAGAAACACATCTTGTCCCCTGCAACATTAGTAGCAGTTAATTTACACATCCAAGCAACATGATCAGCAGACTTTGTGTGTGTGTGTGTGTGTGGGGGGGGGGGGGGGGGGGGGGGGGGGGGGGGTGGGTGGGGAAGCAAACTAGTACAGACTAATGCAATCAGACTTACGCAGCGACTGCCAAGATAGGAAGCTCAAGCAAAGGATTCCATGCTACATACTTCACAGCTTCACCAATCTCCCAGACTCTGAGACACCTTCCAGTTTCAACCTCCCATATGCGTACAGTTCCATCACTTGAACCTTTGCATATATCACAGAAAACAGTGAGATCAACATTCCACAGCATATAAGTTTCATTAAACAAAGATGCAATGTAAATATAGGGGTAGCATTCAAACCAGAAGCAAACCACTGGCCAGAAACCTCTGTCGAAATTGACACAACTGCACTGGTATGACCTCTATACTCAATGAAACATGTTGTCGGGTACGGCTTAAGATCTTTACGACTTGGAAGCTTGGGCTTTAAAGACTCAGGATCAATATTAATCTAGAACACATATCAGGGAATTCTCATTAAAGCGAATCATCATCACTAGATTATAAGTGCAACGAACAAGTTACAAAAATTATGAGAACCGGCATAACAGAAACACATCCAGAAGAAACAATTTGCAGTCCAACTTACACGTTTTTTGCGGGCTCTAGGGCATAAGTATAGGTCTAAACAACGATCAAAGAATTCTTTCGCAGCTTTATCATATGCCGGGACACTTCTTAAAGACGTAAACCTAAGCAAATACAAATCAATTACGATGTTAGATGTTTGTGGTTCCCATGGATTTAGCCTCACAAAATGTTCAACCACTAAAAAACAGAAGGAAATTAGAATAAACTATAATTATACTGCATATTACCTTTTTGGGATAAATTTAGGTCGGTCTTCCTCAAACATGAGCTGATAAGAATTAATCTCTTCTTGTGATGGGATGTATTCTAAAGATGGATTGTAGGATTCCTCATGGCCTGAAAGCCAAAAATCAATTAAAGTCAGATCTTTTTACTACAAAAAAACAAGCACAAAAAAGACATTTGTAATCTTGACTTTTCTCAGACAGAAGAAATGGGCAAAAACCCAAACCTGGTAACTTTGGCTTTGGCGCAGGAATATAAGCCAATCCATGCCCCGCCTTTTCTGTTGAACTAGAATCATCTCCCCACAGGTGATAGAATCGTGGTTCTTCTTTTGGCTTGTCAAATTTAATTAACCCCTTTCGAATTGCCCTTACATACTCAATAACCTGCAGTATATCCACAACAGAAGCATGCCACAGCACAGAGTTCCAACACATCAGTCTCTCCAGAAAAAAGTCATCCATGTAATTGATGACCTAACCGCTGAGTTACCAACCCATTCACTAATTAACAACATCTCTTTCCAAAATGTCATTATATATAGAAATAACTTAGCAAAAAGACACCAAACTAGAATTTATGAAGCCATTATGCAAGCGATATCTTCCATAATTTACCTTTTTACTCTCCCACTTTGAAGGAATGAAGCGTCTCTTTGGTTCTGGTTCATTTGAAAGAGGATGCTTGGCATCTTCCCAGGCAAACCAATCAACGTAAGGCTGTAATCAAAACACAGGGAACTTCAAAAATTCTCAAGCAGAAAATGAGGTGCATTAATTTTACAGGATGATCAAAAAAATAAAAATAAAAATGATGATCATAATTGACAGAAAATTTTCCCAATTAGTTAGGAAATTACTGACCGCTCAATTCTTGGCCTTGGTTTGTTGTTTGGGATTTTAATGTTACTAGGTATCCTCGAGAGAGTGCCAAATTCTGATGTTTGGCTGGGAGGTATAAATGAGTTCAATAGTTGTATTCAGAGGAATACAGAGGACTGAGTTATATGACTTGAAATACAGTGGTGCTCAATTTACTTGGTCTAATGGTACTTTATTTAGCAAAATCAATAGATTTTGGTGAATGATGCTTGGTTACAGAAGTTTGGTTTGTCTGAAGCTGTGTTTGATCCTGTCCCATTCTCAGATCAATCCATTAGCCTTTTGAAGTTGCACTTAATTGCGAAGCTAGGAAAAACCTTTTAGGTTTAATCACTTCCTTGTTAATCATCCCCAATTTTTTAGTCTTGTTGAGATTGCTTGGCAGCAAAAAATTAAGGGACTCCTATATTTATTGTGGTTCATGGTTGAAGCTTATTAAATCTCGACTCAAACTGTTGAATAGGATGAATTTTCAGCATCTTTCATCTAGAGTGGATGTGGCCAGAAGGAAAGTTACTGAAGCTAAGTTGCAGGTGGATAGGAACCCTTTCCGTGAAGAAGCTAAAAAGGTTGAGAAAGCCTGTTTTTCTGAAATTGTGCAATTGGAAAGATTAATAGAGGGAAATTTTTTGCACCCTGCATTAATCTTTCCAATAACAAAGGTGGAGAAATATTCGGCCCAGATAATTTAAAGATGGAAAATTTTCAACACACTCCTTGGATTAACTTGAAAATGGAATTTCTTACTTTCATTTACCAATATCCGATTTTAATTCCACCTAACAGAGAAAGCATTTTTTGAGATTTCAATCGTTGATGGCTCGGATTTGCAGTAGAAAAGCCTTAGAGCTAGCATATGACTTGGAAATCTTTCTAAGAATTACTTCTTATTGGTCAATTCATTTTTTCATCTCTTTGCTTAGACAGCAATCCATGATTCAGTGGCTCGAGGAAGGGGATTTGAACACAAGCTTCTTTCATAAAGTGGTGAAGCAAAGAAAAAATATAAATATAATTCACTCCATTGTTGATGATAATGGTACAAGGTTTGATGATCCTAATATGATAAATGAAGCCTTTTTGGCTTATTGTAAGCAGCTTTTGGGGTCTGTTGTTAATGTTGGAAGTATGCAGGACCTTGATGCTTTTGTTGGGAAGCCTTTTTCAGAGTTTCAGAGCTCTTACATCGCTAGGGATTTCATAGCTGAGGAGGTTCAAAGTACTATGCTAGCTTTGAAAGACAATAAAGCTCCTGGACCTGATGGTCTGAATTCTTTCTTCTTTAAGCAAAATTGGCATATTGGTAATCATATCACCAAGGCAATTCTTTCCTTTTTTAAACTGGTAAATTGCTGAAGGAGCTCAATGCTACAACCATTACATTGGTTCCCAGTTGGCTAATCCAAATTCCGTAGGTGACTTTAGACCTATTTCTGTTTGTAATACTTTGTATAAATGTATTGCAAAAGTTATAGATAACAGAATCAAGGTTATGCTGCCTGCGTGCATTAGCCTGAATCAAGTAGTAGCTTTTGTCCCTGAGAGAAGAATCTCTGAGAATGTTTTTCTTGCTCAGAATTGATGAAATTTGTTATAGGGACAAAAAACCTGCCAGGAATGAAAATAGACTTGAGAAAAGCTTATGACACACTTTCTTGGCAGTTCTTGTTCTCTTCCTTGAAGGCTTTCAAATTCCCAGATAAGATTGTTGAATAGATTAAAACCTGTGTTTCTACTGCCCAGTTTTCTCTAAATATTAATGGTGCTCTTTGTCACGATCCGATTCCTAACGACGCCATGAGCATAGAAGATACGCATGCTGGTTGGCTAAGAACATTCATTGACTGGGAATGGTTCCAGGGAAGGGGCGTGCAGGACCACAGGATGGTACCTCTTCAGAGTTCAGGCAGGTCGACTCGGTTCAGTTCGAGGTGCTTGTCGCTAGTCTTGGACTTGACTATGAAGAAGGGAGTTGGCCATCCCTGCACAAACTAGTCGGGAGCTGGAGCCGTTCCCCTGACGAGGCCATGGCAGGCCGAAACCAGTCAGCATGTATCCTTGGGAGGGCAGGTCGTGGTGGCTGACCAGGGCGCTTGCGCGAGCTGAAGCAACGCCTTGGTGCCGCACGGGCCGTGCCGCTGCGCCAAATCTCTAGGCCCGTGACAAATGGTATCAGAGCAGGACTTGGGGAAAAGCACAGAGGTGTGCCCCCTTGTCGATCCGGGGGTCTTGAGAATGAAGACGGTGCACTGAAAAAGCGTCGGTGGGTAATCAATGCTGTTGGAGGAGAGCCTCCATCTCCCCATGAAGATGCGTCCTTTAAGCCGGAGGGCCGCGCGCATCGGATGGCCGGAGGGCCGCGCGCACCAAAGTTCTTGCAAGTTCAAGAGGCGTGCAAACCGTTGTGAAGGGCGGGTATCAAGTCAGCCGGAGGGCGCTTGTTTGCTCGGGGTGTCGCGGAGGCGGCATAACGTGGGGTTGCGTCCCGAAGAAGTGGGCGTCCCTTTAGCCCGAAACCCTATCATTGGGCGAGTGCAGCCAGGGGTTGTACAAGGAAGCGATGGTGGGCAGGCGAGCATACCACTTGGAGGAGACAGGCTTTGGAATGTTGGACGCAGCGGAGTCAGCGCCGCACTGCGACGAGGGCGTCGCAGGATTTGGGTGGGGGAGAATGTCACGATCCGATTCCTAACGACGCCATGAGCATAGAAGATACGCATGCTGGTTGGCTAAGAAAATTCATTGACTGGGAATGGTTCCAGGGAAGGGGCGTGCAGGATCACAGGATGGTACCTCTTCAGAGTTCAGGCAGGTCGACTCGGTTCAGTTCGAGGTGCTTGTCGCTAGTCTTGGACTTGACTATGAAGAAGGGAGTTGGCCATCCCTGCACAAACTGGTCGGGAGCTGGAGCCGTTCCCCTGACGAGGCCATGGCAGGCCGAAACCAGTCAGCATGTATCCTTGGGAGGGCAGGTCGTGGTGGCTGACCAGGGCGCTTGCGCGAGCTGAAGCAACGCCTTGGTGCCGCACGGGCCGTGCCGCTGCGCCAAATCTCTAGGCCCGTGACATCTTGCTGGCTATTTTCCTTCTTCTAGAGACCTGAGACAGGAGGACCCTATGTCTTGTGTTGGCCATGGAAATTTTGACAGGAATTCTGACACTAGAAACTGCAGTTTCTGATCTTACCTACCATTGGAGATGTGGGAAGACTCAGTTGTCTCATATTATGTTTGCTGATGACCTGCTTCAGTTTTATGCTGGTTATTTGAAGTCAGTTGAGATTTTGTCTAGAGCTTTGAACGAATTTAGTTCTCTGGCTGGTTTAAGTCCTGATCCTCTGAAAAGTCAAATGTTTGCAGCAGGTCTTCCAATAGATTTGATGCAGCAGATTCTTCAAAGGATAAATTCCCAAGAGGGAAGGTTGCCTGTTAAATAGCCTGGTGTTCCTTTGCTGTCTACAAGACTTAAAGCTGTGGATTCTAAAAGCATGGTGGATAGAATTACCTCTAAAGTTCAATCCTGGACAAATCAGTATTTGTCTTTTGCTGGCAGGTTACAATTAATATATTCAGTATTATTTTATATGCAAGTGCTTTGGGCATCTCATTTCATTCTTCCTAAGGCTGTTCTTAAAGTTTTTTTTTTTTTTTTGATAAGTAATAATCGATTAAAAAGCGTTCAAAAGGGGAACGCGTCCCGGATACAAAACGAAAGAAAGACCTAAGGACTCATGGAGTCCAATAGATCAACAATGTCTATGGATGAGGAGCAAGAGCTTCCTTTAACATGGCAAGAAATAGTAGAATGTTTGAAGGGAAGGAGTCGTCTACAGCGACTCTGAAACTTTTTATTATTCGTTCTCTATTTAGTAATGTGAACAGAAGTTCGTGTTCCTCTTCTGTTGATTTAATTTCTTTTTTGGATTCTTTGGGACCTTAGACCCCAGTTTCTTTTATGTCTATGGGACGAGTTCCCCTATTGAACGCCTTTTTTAATTTATTATTACTTATCAAAAAAAATAATAATAAGGCTGTTCTTAAAGATAGAAATTCAGTTTTAATGCATTTCTTGTGGAAGGGTAGTTCTTTAATGAATGCTGGTTCTAAAGTAGCTTGGGAGGATGTTTGTTACCCTAAAAAGGAAGGTGGTTTGAGTCTTATGGAGTTGAATGCTTGGAACAGGGCTGCTATGGCTAAGAACTTATGGGAAGTTGTTCAAGTGAAGCCTCAATCTCTATGGACTGAATGGGTTAAAGTTCATCTCATTAGAAATAGAGACTTTTGGTCTATTAAAATTCCTCAAAGTAGTTCTTGGAGCTGGAGGAAAATCTTACAAATTAGAACTGACTTTAGAATGTTTATTATGCATAAAGTGGGTAATGGGACACACACTTGGTTATGGAATGACTATTGGCTCCCTATGGGCCCTATTGTGATGAGAATAGGTAATAGAGTCATCTTTGACTCAGGTTTGGGTGAACAAGCAACTGTGGCTGATATTATAGTTAATAACCAGTGGCAGTGGCCTCAAACCAACACCCTTGAGCTTGTTGAGCTAAGGAATGACATACCTTCAGATTTCCAGCCTTCCTAAATAATGATCAAGTTATTTTGTTACCCAGTAAGGGGCAGTTTACCATTAAAACTGCTTGGGAAAATATTAGACCTAAGAAAAATGTTGTTGCTTGGAATGAGACTGTCTGGTTTAAAGGAGCTATTCCCAAGCATTCTTTTATCTGTTGGCTTGCCTGTTTAAATAAATTGCCAACTCAGAACAGATTAGTGAGATGGGGGGTGATTTCCAGAATTAGTTGTGTTTTCTGCAGGCAAAACATTGAGGACATAGATCACTTGCTCTTCCAATGCTGCTTTACTAAGAGACTATGGAATTATGCTGTTGCTACTTGCTAGAAGCTTACTGCCCTGGCCTAATGGTAATTGGTGTACTCTTTTGAACTGGGCTGTTTTGACTCTTAGAGGAAAGTCTTTGGTAACAGTTTTGAATAAAATGGTTCTTGCTGCTTCAATCTATGTTCTTTGGAGGGAAAGGAATTCCAGAATTTTTGCAATGAGTATAAAAGGAATTGATATAGACTGTTAGACTGAAGCTATTCTCTTCTGCCAGACTTGAAGATAATCATTCTAACAGAAGGATTGTGCAGGATTTGGATTTGCCTGAATCTGTTTTGAAGATCTATTGCTTTTGCTTATGTTGTGCCATCTCTTACTCTGCAGCAGGCCTGTTAGCTCTGACTAGGTCTGTTGTGTTTTTTTTAAGGTGTATTCTTCATAATATCAGGGCTGTTGTTTGGATTTCTTGGTGCTGTAGCTGGAAGTTGTTCTGTTATCAAGATTAGTACTCCAATTCTTGTATTCTTAAGTCTTGTTCTGTTTTTTTACATTTAGGGTCTGTTTTTGTTGGTTATGGTCTTGTTGTATTTTGATGTTTAGTGGTTTTGATCCTAGGTTTTTGGATAGAACCTCTTTTTTGTTTATGGTGGGTTTTGGCCTATTTTTTCTTTTTATTCTATATTTGTTTGTTTTGGACTGTATAGTCCTTATTAGAGGGGATATCTCTCTTAAAATTGTATGTTCTGTTTTTTTAAGGAATAAAATACCATGCTTATCCATATATATATATATATAAAGAAATTACTGACCGCATACGGATCAAAGTCAGCATGTGGTGCCTTCCCTTTCTGCAATCTGCGGATAATTTTAATCTCATCTTTTGTAAGCTCCACTTCCTCATCATTATACTCATCATATATCTTGCGCCTGAATAGAACAAACAAAACCCAAAACAAATATCTGAAAGAGGTCATAGGCTCTGAAACTAGTGCCACAATGTATTAAATGAAATCTCTCTTAGTCCCTCTTTATATAAACTTGGTCCCAGAATAACAATAAAAAAATCAGCAATGTCAATATGCTGATCCTTCAATTGTCTTACAATCATCCAATTTTTTAGTTACATTATGGGGTTTAACATTTAGATGTCAACATATTGCCAGAGTTGTAGCCTAGTGGTATCTCCTTTGCCTCCCAAAGTGGAAGGCGAGGGTTCAAGCTCCCATAGGGGCAAATTGGTGTGTGAGTTTCTTACCAATGGAAAAAACAAAGATGTCACAGATTTAGTCCAGAAGGAGAAAAGACAACAAAAACAAGTTTATTTTTTTGGTAAGTAAAAAGAACAAAAACAATCAGGTGCAGCAACTGAATCATTTGCAGCTTTTGAAAAAATAGCATACGAAATCATCAAGGAATGAATGAATTGTCCTAAATCCATAAACATAGCATTTGAAATTGCATTCCTCTACCAAGCAACAATATTTTATTTTTTTTTCCTAAGCAACAATATTTTACTTGACATATGTTGCCTTTGAGGAGTTGGTATGACCTCAACAACTCAAAGAAAATTAATGGAGACAAGTTACTGGACATTATTTACAATGAACAGAGACAAAGTAAATCTTGCATGAAAAAATCATCATTACAGTTGAAAACTCACCAATTTTTTGAATCATCAGTACTGGCTAGAAAGGAGTCCAGTTTATCTTGTCTCTCCTTTTTCTTAATCTTCTTTCCAGTAATGTCATATCCAATGTGTTCCTCGTCCTTGTACCACTCTAAAGGAACATCACCAACTGTATTTCGAGGAGCAACCTATTTGAAAAACATAATTAGAATAAAGATTTTTTTTTTTTTAAAAAAAAAAAACACTCTATATGATCATGTGACGATACCCCATTAGAATTCAGGGCATGAGCATGTCTCAAGAATGTGATTAGAAAGAAAAACAACACATTTGGTTTGCATTGTTTTTCTCTTCCAAAAAGCATGGTATTTTAGGGGGAAAGCAGAAGTTTGAATGCCATATTGTAAAACTAAATTACATTTATATTCCCCAAGAGATGCAAATAAACAACAGACCTCATCTTCAGATGAATCACTCTCTTCAACTCCTTCATGGACTTCATCACCTTCACCTTCACCTTCACTTTGTTGACCATTATCGCTGTCATCACCACCATCATCACTGAAACCGTCGTCACCTGAGATAAGAGTCTCCTGTCAGAATAATGCTCGAGGTTAATAAAATTACAGCCAAAGACCCAAAAAATCTTTAAGCTAAAAATAGTTGAAGGTTAAACTGAATTTTAATAATATTAGAACATAACACATTTAAATTTGCTGTTTTCCTGTAAAATTTGGTGATTACCATGTACCTCATTTTCGGAGGATTCACTCAACCCTGATCCAGATTCACTCAATGAGTCATCATCCTCGCTGAAAACCTATACACAAAGAACCTCAATCATCAAGAACCCAAATTTATGCATATATGAGCTAATGATTCCAATATACCAACAAATATGCTGCCAATAACAAACAAAAAAAAAATTTGCCCAATTGAAGTCGAATTAATCAGAACATACAAACTACAGAAAAGTATTTAGGGCATTATCAGTATATACAGAGACGGCTAAGTACCTCACTCTCGGGATCGGAATCGATGGCGGCTGGTTCAACTTGATGCTCATCGTCTTCTTCTTCTACCTTCTTGTTCCAAGCCTCTTCTTCCTTCCTCTGTTTCATCTCTCTCTCTCAGAAGTCTTCTTCGAAACAGTCGCTCTTCACCCACTTCTCTCTCCTTTCCTCTCCTCTCTATATAACACCAACTCTAAACCCTAGAACAAGAAGATACGAGCGGTACCCTCTAGGGTTTAGAGTTTAAACGTCTTGGACAGAGAGAGGAAAAGTGTAAAAAAATACACAAATATAAGTATAATTTTGATGTTGATCCAATTTTTGATTCAGGATCCAAACAAATGGATGCAAAATGTTTTTCACGAAGTATTTTTTTTTTTGTTTTGTTATCGTAATATAGTTATTAAAAAATAAAATTTTTATAAATTATTTTACATATTCGTAAAATAAAATAAATATTTTATGTAGAAACAAATGGAAATCAATATCTTTTTAAAAATTTGATTCATTCATTTATACACTTGTGAAGAAGATGAGTACAAATTAGGGTTTCTTATCTTTTCTTTTTTTCTTTTTTTTTTTTTTTTTGGGCCTTTTTTAACTTACATTCACCTCATTTCTAGTTAGCTAAAAGTTCAAAGAGCTCCCCTCAATTTTTATAAATATCATTTACCTCCCTTAAAATGGGTCTCAATTCATATTCCATTTTACCAAAGAACATTACATTTGACCTAATTATTTTAATACAATAATAAAACTATTCTTATATGACGATCATGCCCTTGGTACCATCTATTGCAACAAGTCCCTCCACCTCACAATCATCCCCAAATTCATCCTATATGTGTTGCAAAGCCCATGGACCCAAGAAATAGAGTACAAAAGAAAAATAAACAGAGAAACAATAACCTCGATTTTTTTTAAAACAAAAATGCCATTTTCAAACTGAAGATGCGGTAGGGTCGGTGATCTACAACGCGAAAGAAGGAAGAGCAAAACGGCGGAGAAGGCACAGAGTTTAAGAGGGAAGACGAAGCAGATGCACAGGGAGCGTGAGGGAAGCGAAAAAGACTACCCACTAGATCAAAGAGGTTGTTATTGATGTGTTTAAGGAAGATGAGAAGTCCATTGATGATTATGTTGAACATGATGTAAGCAAGGCTTGGTTTGGTCTTTGGACCGACGTTGCCTACCAAACCTTGATCTTTCTCACCATTTTTTTCTCTTTCTTCTTATCTTTCTCACAGCTCGATCTCATACTCCGCCGATTTGATTGGGGAAGGAATCATTGGCATCACCAGCTGGCTAATATTTCGTGTACATGGGTTTGCAATATTGACTCCATTTGGGGGATTTCTTTATGAGAAGCTGGGAATACTATCATTTTATAGGGGTGCGTATTGTTGAATTCAGACTAGCAATTCGGGGTTTATTCTTGTTCATTGTGATAGTAGTGTGAATTGAGCAATTTGGTGCAAGGGTGTTGGTGGATTCCCTGTAAATTACAAGATGACAAAAATGAATTGGGGCCATTGTTTGTTTAGGGTGTGTTTGGTACGGTGGATTTGAAGGGGGAGGATAAGATTAGTTATGAGGAAAAGGGAAAGAAAGGGAAGGGAATGATTATTTTAACCCTCCATTGTGTTTGGTTAGTCAATGAAGGAAAAGAAATGAAAGGATAATAAATATGTTTGGGAGAAGAAAGGAAAGGGAAGGATAATAATAAATTTACTATTATACCCTTATTATTTATATATATATATATATAGTATACCTGCAAAAAAAAAAAAAAAACAAATCATTTCAGCTCCCCATTCTCGCCTCCATCCCCATTATTTATATATATATATATATATATATAATAATAATAAAAGGAAAGAAACAAGAAAAGGAAAGAAAAATTTCTTTCTTGAACAAGGGCGATCCAGATCTGGCTGTAGCACCTTCGTTCTTGAAGGTTCCGATCCAGGGCAAATCATTTCAGCCTTCCCAATCTCGCCCTCCATCTTTATTATCGTTCTCAACTCTCTCTCTCTCTCTACAAGATTCAGAAGTTCAAAACCCAAACCCATATATTTCATTTTATCTTTCTGTCTGCAAGAATCAAAAATTCAAAACCCGTATCAGTATATCAGATTGTTCAGAAAATCAAAACCCATATCTTTCAAGTTTCCATCGTCGCTGTTCCAGTTCGGGTTCGCCATCGCCACTGTTCTAGTTCGGGTTCGCCGTTGCCCGCCGTTTCTTCATTCTTTCTGCAACTGCTATCTTGTATGTATATTGATTTGAGGGTAAAATTGGCATCATCAATCATTACCTTCCCTTTCCTTCCATTTCCTCCCATTTTTGGGAGGTTAAACAAATCACTGTGGAAGGCTATGCATAACCCTCCAAACCCTTCCCTTTCCTTCCCTTCCCTTCCCTTCCACCCATTTTACCCAAACACAGTTTTTTAGTTACCCTCCATCACCTTCCCTTCCCTTTCCTCCCATTTCTACTCTACCAAACTGAGCCTTAATCTCTGTGGTCGAAGGTATGTAACATCAATGAGTAAATTGGTGTTTTGATTTTTAGTTAATTGTTTTTTAAAGGTTAAATAGGTTTTTTTGACAGAGTCAGAGGGCAATATGGACTTTCTCACTTTCTGGGTTCTTAGCAATTGCATTAACCAACTTTGACTTGGACAAACTTCATTTTAGGCGAGGTAAATGATATTCTTGAAAATCGAGGGGAGCCGTTTGAGCTTTTAGCTAATTAGAGGGGAGGTGATCGTAATTTATCCTTTAACTTAACTAGGCTATTAAATTTTTAAACAATTCAATGGGTTTTATGTAGGTGAGTTGACTGCTAAGTCACACAATTCTAAACGGGTGAGAGCATTGCGTAGGTTCCCATTCTCGCTTTATATATAACTAACTTTTTTTAATACGAAAAAAAAATAAATAAAAGGCAAATTACCTTAAATACCCTCTATAGTAAACTGAGGTGTTACATGGCCATAAATTGACTTAAGTTTTGTAACTCCTTATGTAGGCCTTTACGTGATTTATGTGAACTCGGCCTGAATGGGTTTCCTCCTTCTCTTTTTTTATTTTTTATTTCTTCTATAGAATTTGAGAACATATGTCCATTAACTTTTTTCTTACCTGTATTATTTATTTATTTGTAATGCTTCTTCCTTTATATTCACGGCCTGGTTTAGACGAGAGCAAAAAGACGAAAAATCATCCGGAGCACAAAACTAACTAGCAACTTATTGAAATTTCAAGCAAATAAAATCCTTGAAAGCTATTTTAAGGTGAGGAATGAAGAAGATTTTGAGGCCAAAAAGAGATTTACAAACCCACATTTCAAATCATATGTAAGAGGGGATTTGACTACGTCTATTTCAGATTGTATTATATTCTCGGCTATATTATATCACATTACAGACCATTTGATATAGTCTAGTTCCCAAAACTCTTCCAGTGGCTAGAAAAGACATAAGTTAAAGAAATACACATGAACATACATATATGGTCCAACAATAATTTATATATATTACAACTTACTATAATCAAACACACACACATATAAGTGTTTAAATGAACTAACCTTGGAGAAATAACATAGAGAGTACATGCGAATGGAAAAGAGGGAGGTTTGATTGGAATAAAGTAATGCAAAAACTTTTTTTTAGAAAGATGGGATATAACGGTTATATTGAAGGGTACTTTCAGGATTAATAAAAAAGTATTAATCACGTGCATCACAATATGAAAAAAAAAGTGGCTGGAGGAAAAATACAAGGTGATAAATTGTTCACTTTTATACCACATGGGGGTATTGTGTTCACTTAGTAAAATTTCTGAGAAGTTTTTTGCACTTTTGCTTTAAAAAAAAAAAAGATAATTACACTATTCCTTATCAAATATGGTAACATCATATTAAATGATATTATTGTAAAATTAGCAATAACATTGTTTAAACAAATATTATTATCAAATAAATTAAAAATAATTTAATTATAAAAAATACTTATTATAATTTGTCACCACACCTAACATATTTTTTAACAATCACAAATTTTTGAGAAGATAAAGGCATTTTTTTTTATTCTAAGAACAACCCCAAACAGACTCTAAATCATTACTCACTATGGATAAATTGGATAATTCAATCAATACTACTAAAAAAAAATTTATTTTCATAAAAAAGGAACACTTATTTTGAGACCAGTATTAATTTAAGGTTGGAATTAAATATCTTGTGATTTTAATTTCAAAACAACAATTCCCATTCTTGAAAAAAAATAAAAAAATAAAAAAAAAATGATTGGCCTTGCCTGTCATTTCACCGCAAATGCGAGTGCCACCAACTTCTTGTACTCATCATATTATATACGCTCAGAGATCGTGACCCATGGAATCGTAGTGGTTATCACCATAAGATGTAGCTAATGGACCCAACAAGTACACTAGTATTTCGTCTCTCTCCCCAATCTCCAGTCCAAAACCTGTGGTTCCTGTTTCTCCTACTCACTCAACTTTGTCTCTCTACTCCACACCTCACTGAACTGGTAAGCACTTCTTCTTGCTCTTTAGGCTTTTCCTGTCAAACCCAATCTAGATAATAGATGTCCAAATTTATTGCATAATCACACACTAGTGGAAGTTCATCACCCAAAACTACAACTAGGGTTTTATGGTTTCAATCCTTATATATTAGCAAATATTTGTACTGGGTTTTAGTTATAATCTTTAAATTAGTGAATTAAACTCAGAAATTACTAGTTTCTGTTTTTGGGTATTTGTTATCTGATCATTTCATGGCTTCTTCAATGCTGTATGGAGCTGAAAATCTCACACTCATTAGAGGGATAACCCCAAATGGGTTAGGTTTTATTAGGTCAGATTTGCACGGGAAGCAATTTCTCAAGACGAGTTTGATGTCTGGTGGTAGAAATTCTAGGGCTAGAATTAACACCCCAGTACCAAAGTGCAGTGCTTCTGCATCTAGGCCTGCTTCGCAGCCTAGGTTCATACAACACAAGAAAGAGGCATTTTGGTTCTATAGGTTCCTGTCAATTGTGTATGACCATGTCATAAATCCTGGGCATTGGACTGAGGATATGAGAGATGATGCTCTCGAGCCTGCCGACCTCTATGATCGGAATATGATCGTGGTAGATGTCGGTGGTGGGACAGGATTCACTACTTTGGGTATAGTTAAGCATGTTGATGCCAAGAATGTCACCATTCTCGATCAATCACCTCATCAGCTTGCCAAGGCAAAGGAGAAGGAGCCCTTGAAGGAATGCAAGATAATTGAGGGCGATGCAGAGGATCTCCCATTCCGAACTGATTATGCTGATAGATACATATCCGCTGGAAGGTTAATTCTCAACCTTTCATTTGGTCTTATATGCCTTTTTTTTTTTTTTTTTTTCACTCTAGAGTTGCAACATTTAAGTTTCTAAAAACTTAATGGTTGGAAGCATTCTAAATTATGCATTCATCTTTGTTTGGCCGTAGCTTGCACATATTCACTAATTCTTGTACTAGAGTTTTGGATTAAATAAGTTTTGGTTTATTTAAATTATGCTTTTGTTTAGACATGCCAATTTTGTATAGATTCCCAATGCAAGGGGAATTACATTGAGAGAAAGAGAGATTAACTTTCTTGGCAATCTCACTAATAGAGGTCCAATAATTTCATTTTCTCAGTATTGAATACTGGCCAGACCCTCAACGCGGCATCAAGGAAGCATACAGAGTCTTGAAACTAGGAGGAAAGGCGTGTTTGATTGGTCCCGTGTACCCAACGTTTTGGTTGTCTCGGTTTTTTGCAGATTTGTGGATGCTCTTCCCTAAAGAGGAAGAGTACATCGAGTGGTTTAAAAAGGCAGGATTTAAGGATGTTCAACTGAAGAGGATTGGCCCAAAATGGTATCGTGGGGTTCGTCGTCATGGGCTGATAATGGGATGTTCTGTGACGGGTGTAAAACCTGCTTCTGGGGATTCTCCTTTGCAGGTACTTGACTCTTTCTTCTATAAGTTCACAAGATAGTTACATGGAATACGTTAATTGGATTACAATCATATATATGTCACTTTGTTTTGTCATTCTTTGGACATACTTTATTCCATCACTGTTCCCCTAAACGAACTTAAAAGACCAAATTTTGTTGTACATAGCATATGGAATTAGTATGTATATACATATAGAAAACAGCAAGCACTAGTTATCTTATAACCGGGCCAGAGATGGAGGGGAGTGAACTGGGAACTTGATAAAAGAATGTGTTGTTGTATCTTGAGCCCCAGTTCAATTATCTGCTTGGACCAAATGATAGCAATAGTAACAAGGGTAAAGTGCAAAAAACTCCCATGCTATACAAAAAATGTGCAAAAAACACCTCTATTAAAAATTAAGTGCATATAAACTCCTATATTATCAATCTTGTAAGCAAATTGCCCCCCCATTCATCAATTTTGACCAATTTTTGTATTAGAACCCCACAATGCCCTTAAAATTAAACTTTTTTTCACAGCCCTTTTAACTCTGATTATGAAAGTACAAATTTGCCCAACTCTTATAAAATTATTCCTTACATCACTGCTTAATATAATAACATACGTGTTTGTTGTGTCTATATGTATATATAGATAACATATATATAGAGAGAAACAAATATATATATATATATATATATATATATATGCACAGTGTGTGTATATGCAGATTCTCTCTCCTCTTCCATTTTTCTCTCTCTCTCTCTCTCTCTCTCTCTCTACAGAACCACCACCAATACCAGTGTTAATCACCGCCGCCATCAGAAAGTTCCGGCCTCTGCTTCAATCTCCACAAATTGGCCCTTTTCTCTCTCTCTAAATCTGTATTTCTGTTAGTTCCCCCATATTGTTGGGTTCATGTTTTGTACTGAAGCTAAGAGCTACAATGATTGCTCAAAAGATCAATCCTATAAACATTCCAACAAATCTGTTTGTTCTTGAATGTTTTTATTTTATTTTATTATTATTATTATTATTTTTTAGAGCTCTCTCTGAAACATGCCAACATGGGTTTCAAACCTCAAGAACCTGAGATGGGTTACTCTGTTAATGGGTGTTTCGAATAATTTTTTCGTGATCGTTCTGTGTAAATCTCTGGTGTACCCAATTTGTGGGCATGCACATACTCTTACTTTCCAACTCATTTTGTTGGCTTCTTGCATCATAATTGTGCAGCAATCACCAATACAAAGTCCAAATTTTCAAGGACCCGATGCTAAGTTTCAAGGACAAGTAAAAAATCTAATTGACAAAAATGAAAGAAAACATAAATTCATTTCAAATGCATAAATGTCTGCTGAAAAACACATCATTCTTCAGTCCACCATGCCATTGATTTATCAAATATCATAAACATTATATATATATAAAGTACATTCTATAAGATTTATTTGCCTTCTATAATATTTTCCCTAAACATGGTGCCATAACCCACCATTAATCAAACATTGAAATAAGCAAAATCAACACTTCACCGCAAATCCACATGCAGACACTTTGGAAAACACTGATGATAGTATAGAAGAAGGGTCAGATTTAGCTTTCTAGGTGCATTTCCATCAATAAGTGCAGAAAACAAACTGCTCAGAGCCCAGTGCTATATCATCATACATTACATAGCAATAATAGCACATCATTCAAATAATAAACTGATTTGCTTAATTTGAACTTGTCTGATATATGCAAACACGCAAAAATAGAAATGTTTGAGAGAGAAATCGTAGTTCCATTTTTGGGTTCGTCTTGTCTCTGGATTGGTGACCACACACTCTCGGATCCACCAGTAAATCAATGCCATTTTCTTGATTAGGGCCTTCTTAGGAAAAACTGCCAAACAGAGCAAAATTTTGGGCTTGTCTTGTTTCTTGATACGGCGTCGTTTGGTTGCTTTCGGTGGCGGCGCGTGTGATGACTTACGTCACACAGCTCAGCAGAATTGGGACTACGTCCATTGTTTTTCGTCAAATTGGCAATCTTTAGGGTTTGAAGATCATAATTGAAGGTAGGATTAGAATGGTAGACGAGCAAGACAAAGAAGAATATGGGTTTTAGAGAGAGATGTTGATACAAAGTTATAGTATGTATTACCTCTTGTTTCAGAGGTTGTAGATGGGGGGCTATAAGTATTGCAAACCAAGAGAGAGAGAGACTTTATTGAACAAAGACTGGAAACGAAGAGAGAAAAATGAAAGAGATAAATCAGCCACAGTTTTAAGGAAATATCCTTTTTGGACATTTTGCTTTTTCATGAGTTTTTTTTTAATTTTATTTCTTTTATTTTGTTGTAAGGGTGTTTTAGACATTTCAATCACTAAATTGATAGATTGGACTTATGTGCTCAATGTGAAAAATGTAGGGGTGTTTTTTGAACAATAGGGGGGGTATTTGCACATTCTGTATATAACAGGGGTTCTTTTTGCAGTTTGCACTTAACCCTCGTAATAATCACAAAGATGAATGGAAGGTGTAACCAAAAGAAAGAAAGTAATCATGGAAGAGTCATTGAAGCAAATGTTGATCAATTTAGACATTCATTTGTAATTCTTACATTGTTGGCTGTAATTTCCGCAACTGATCCTGGCTCAAAATAGCGGTTATTTTATATATAATAGATCAATATATGGATTATCGAAGCAAATATACAAGAAGAACTATTGAAGCAAAACATTTAAACAGTAACATCTTGTGGTTGATAGTGCTATTCATTTTAGATTCTGTATTAATTTTGGATCTAGGAGACAGTGTATTCAACTTTGATATCATGGGAATTAGTCTGGTCCTTAGATGAATAATGAACTATTATTTTACATTGGAATAGATTTCCAAGTCAGTTATTTCAACCATTCATAGGTGGTTGGGTTCGATTTCCTTAACTACTGAGTTTTCAACTCATTTATCTGGAATGTGGTATGTCAGAGGTATGCTTGATAACAATGACGTAGTCGGAATGTGATGAGGTAGTTCTTTTTCCTTAGTTGTTAGAGGGGAGGGGGAGGGTGCAATGCTCGAACACGAGCTCCAAGACACGTGGAGCAACCTAACCTCTCGGGCAATATGGCACTTGTAGTGATGAGGTAGTTCTAATCATGAAATTGGCTTTATTTTAAATCATGAAATTGGTTTTATTTTAAACCATGATATAACATGTACTGTAGTTGTGGAAATTGATTGTATTAGAGTTAGAGATGTCAGGCTCTTGAAATAAGCGTATCTATTTATGTCATCCATGTCGTCCTTTCCTAATATTTTCTCCTCAAATAAGAAGTTTGTGTAGATCGATACGTTCAGTTTTTTTGGAGCGACTGTGCTCCATATCCCATTGCTAGGGTATCAGCATTATTTTTTAGTAACTATGTTCAATCTCATGGAATCACACTGCCGCTTGCATCTTTGAGAGGAACTTTTATGAGATTCGAATTCAATATCTGGTATCAAACGCAATCGAGTTCCCCATCCTGGGAGAATTCTGTCAACATAGGAGGGTATCATTTGCATTTATGGCTCTATCCAACATCATTGCCGTGCTGTCACCATCACCCCCACAACTACAGTAAAACAGCTCAAATTTAGAGTTTTAAGTAATTAAGTTCGCGTACTAACTGAATAGAAACTTTAAAGAATTCTTAAAAATTAACATGAGGAATTTCATATACTCGTAACTGGCGATTTTTACTACAGATTGGTTCATATCTGAAAGGTAAACAGTGATTCATGTAGCTGGCACGAGTTGTTGGGATCTATGGCTCTGTTGGACTGGGTTCCAACTTTAAGATTGTTGATTCATGAGCATTTGAACAAATCTAGCATTTCATTACATTAATGCTCCTTTTGATGGGTTGGGGAGATTGGTGGCTGTGCATTTATATTTGCTGCTCATTTTATCATCCACAGAAGCATCTTCCATTTAATTTTTCCCTCTTTGGATTCATAAAGTTGTCGTCTGCTGTCCTGCAGCTGGGTCCAAAGGCAGAGGATGTAACAGAGCCCGTGAATCCATTTGTGTTCGTTCTGCGCTTCATTTTGGGTGCGATGGCGGGAGCATACTTCGTGCTGGTTCCTATCTACATGTGGCTCAAAGATCAAATTGTTCCCAAAGGTAGACCGATATGATAAAGAGAGGAGAGGGGAGGAGGGCGGAGCGGGATTGTTTCTTGTTGGCTGTTTCTGCCACTTACTGATGTTCTCTTTCGGTTTGCATGCACTTCTTATGTTAATTAGCTTTGCCTGTTTCAATTCTCAAATAATCCCAGATTACTTTCTCAAAATCCGATTTATGGGCGGGTTATGATTTGCTGCCGCTTCTTCTGCTGCTGTTTTTTATTTTTATTTTTATTTTTATGGCTGCATCTCTTGAAGTATAAATTCAACCTGTTTCCCAAAGGCCGTAAATTATTACATGGTCCCAGGACAATCACGAAGCGACACATAAGCAAATGTGTCAGTTTTATGGTATTGTCAATTAACTTTTTGCTTATGCGTTGCTTCGTAATTGTCTAGGGCCAATGGTCCGGGACCATGAAATATTTTCTCATTTCTCCAACCTTGTCGGGGAAAATGATGCTATAAGGGTAACTTGGATTCTTATGCTGTCTATAACACAGATCACTTTTCTAATTTTTAATGGCCTTAGCAATTGTCTGTCTAATAATCTCTTCAATTACTCTGCAGTCCCATTTTGATGTAATTAGGTTAGCCTTTACTCATCTCTCTCTCTCTCTCACACACTGACACACACATATATATGGAGTGTTAGGTTGGCTTGGGCTTTCAGTTTAAAGTTGAAAACCTAATTGAAAGCTAACCTCAGTGAGAATTTCGAGTTGTGGAAAACTGAATGCTTGTTCATTCTAAAAAATAAATAAAAATGAAAATATTTTGAATGTCGTGATAAATTTTATAAATTCAAAGCTTGGGCCTGTTAAGCTTTCTAAGGCTATATAACATGATTACTTTTTCAACCACTTTTGAATTGAACATGGTCGATGTTTGCCCCCCAACGAAGTGTTCAAAGTCATAGTATGGCAGAAAGGAGCCCGACTCCTCAACCAAGTATTTAAAGCCTTACCTTGCAGTCACTTGAAGGAGTTCTGTCCACCTCAAGTCGTCAATCAAGTATTTAAGCCCATACCTTGCAGTCACTTGAAGGAGTTCTGTCCAACACGTGAATATTTTTTTATTTTATTTTATTTTATTTTATTTTTTTTTAAGAATTATAAAAGATAATTCACTGAAAATAAAAGAATTTTTAAAAAATATTAATCAAGCAGATTTTTATATAATTTTTTATTTTCAATTATGTGAAAACAAAAAATTATTTAAAAAAAATCGAATCAAACAAACCCTAAATTTGTTAGGGCTTAAGGAGTTCCATTGGATAAGTTTGTGAAACGTGTTTTTTCAAAGTGGATTTAATTTTCTTGGAGTCGTCTTGTGATTCTCTTGTTTGGAGCTTTCCACGTAATTGGTTACATTGCTTTATATTTAGATTAAATTAACTGAATGGAAAATGATATGCATGGTCATGATTAAATAATTAATTGAAATATGTTAAAATCAAAATAAATTTTAAAGTATCTAAGTGCGAGTTAGACATATCACCCTCTCTAAGTTTGATTGGGACGTAGTTTACTTGAGAAAACGTATATGTGATCAAACTACATTTATTGTTATGTTGATAAGTTCGGAATTGAGTTAGGGTCCTAGACACATAATCCACCATTTTATAATCACTCTCTGCACGTGATAACATTGAAGCGTTTTCATTTCAGAGCAGAGACTTGCCATACATTGGATTGGGATGAAAAAATGTATAGGTATAAATGAGTGGGTATACAAAATTATTCAATAGTTTAAATTTTTGAATAAATAGGTAAGTACCTACCCACTTTAGTTGGTATCAAAGGCAAACCTAGTTCTTGATACGGTGCCAAACCAAGCGTCTGACCCGAAAGGCGTCCGGGTGAGCCACCCCAGTAGGTAGGGTGGCCTGAGTCGCAACGAGGGCGTTGCGAGTTCAGGTGGAAAAAAATGTTATAAGGGGACCACATTGAATCCGGATGGAAAAATGTATAGGTATAAATGGGTGGGTATGTAACACTATTCAATAATTTAAATTTTTAGGTAAATAAACAAGCGTCCACCCATTTCAATAGGGATATTCTTCAGTACCCTAGTTTATAGAACCCTCAACCTTCCCAATGAGTTGTGTCCATATTCAAGTTTTCATTTTCCTAATTTATCAGGAAAAAAAAAGAAAGAAATGTGTTCATATCCGAGTCTCTTTTCACCTATTTTGCCTGAATAAAAAAAATGACTACATTCACATGAATAAAATACTACATGATCTCATTAGTCATTGCATTGCTTCATTGTAAATTCAAATATATATATATATATATATATATATAATGTTTTCAACTAGTTTGTTCAATATTTCAACCATTTTGATTAAGACTATTAGCTAAAGAGAATAGAATAATATACAATAGTGGAAATCTCTTCCTTTCTATATTCTTATATCTTATATCTTATTTCTTTTTGTTTTTTTAATTATTCTCTATCAATTTATAATTATTTTTTACAATATGCCCTTCTTGTGCTCAATATGGAATATGAATCTGTTAAATTTTTACTAATAAAATTTTATTGCAGTAATTTTTTTAAATAATTTTTTAATATATGTGGAATGAAGATACTATATGTATTCAGCGATAAATTATAAAATGTTTTAAAAAGTTGGACACTCCATCTTCCCAAAAAAAAAAAAAAAAAAAAATTATATTAATCAATTTTGTACCTGTTTTTGATGTGAAAACACTTTTAAACCGACCAAAAGTAAACGTAAAATGTTTTCTTCGATGTTATGGGATAGTTTGACAAAGAAATAAAAAAAAATGTTGTGTTAGTAGGAACACAGTTTTAATGCTTTGACATAATCTGTCCACAATGGGCACCCAATTCATTGAATCACTCTTGATTTTTTCTCACGTTGTGACAGCACACCCACCCAGCACCCTATATTTCACACACATACACACACTGTTACAGATTCAATTAACAGAAAATATCTTTTTTTTTTTTTTTTTTTTGCAAAGCCACGAAAGCGTAAAACTAAGACGATAGTATAGAGACATAAAGTCAAATCAGAAAAGGCATACAAATTTTAAAACAAAGCAAATAAATTAAGAACATATTTAAGATTTATAGAGAAAACAGAACTCAACACTCTACAAATGGAATCACCGTGAAAGAATGTAACAAACTAGAGAGACCGAAAGATTTGACCATTAACATAGCAACTGCTTCAAAACTACAACCACAAGACGCTTCGATACACAAAATCTCGATCCAATCAAGGAAAAAAGATCAAATATAGGCGGAGAAAATATCTCTTTAATGGGCAAAGCTTAAGGGAGAGGGAGAGAGATATTTTACTCTTTAGTGAACAGAAAATATCTATCTATTTTTTATTTATTTTTGTTCATTCAAAGACATGAAAGCCTAAAACTAAGATGATATATAGAGGCATAAAGTCAAGTCAGAAAAGGCATATAAATCTTAAAACAAAACAAATAAATTAAGAATAGATTCTAGATTTGTGGAGGAAACATAGGCCAATATTATGCAAATGGAACCATCATCAGAGAATGCAGTAAACTGGAGAGACCGAAAGGTCTGACCATCAACACAATAACCGTTCCAAAATTACAACCATAATGTGCTCTGACATACAAAACTCCACACAAGATCCAATAAAAGAAAAAAGTTCAAATCTAGGCGGCGGTGAAAATATCTCTTTAATGGGCAAAGCTTAGGAGAGAGAGAGAGAGAGAGATAGAAAGATATTTTACTTTTTAGTTCCCAAGCAAGGCCGGAGAAGAATCACTATTTACAATAATAATAGTAATAATTTTCTTTTTATAAAGCTATTTTTTCCTTTACTTATTAGTGCATTATTTACACCAAATTTTACACATTTCATTTTTTTTATTCTTTGGTTACTATAAAAATAATGTATGGAAATATATGAGAAAAGAACACGAGCCTTTTTAATCCGTTCATTAATTTTTAATTTTTATTTTTTTGGTGCTTGTTAAATAAAATGAAAGCAACAGATACTGAAATTTGGACACTTCAACCTACAGGTTTGAACTTCTCAAGCATCCCATTTCGCACGAAAACAGAGTGATGTGTAATGAAAAACCACCTCATTATTGTTGGTAATACATCAAGATAACCAAATTAAAGTCCATTTTTGTGCAAGATCTTGGCAGATCTTCGGTTGGTGGTATATGTTAAAGTCGGTGCAGTGAGAAAGTGAAAACGACAAAATATATAAATCACATATAATGAGATTGAGAATAAAAACATGTGCGGAACACGAAAGTAAGAGTGCGTACAAAACATAAGAGCAACACCCCATATAAAATAATAATGTAACTTAAGTTTTAACCATTTTCAAATTACTATCTATTATCTCTCATTTTAAATTCTTCAAATCCCATGAATAATGGAATCAGATTTTTTTTATTAAAAAAAAAAATTGGAAGTTATGAAAGTCCTATTCAAATTATTTGACTTGGAAACTAACCCATAACTGATTTTGAAACCAAATTACATTCGGAAAGATTTTCTTGTCCTCACATGATAATTCTTTTATTTCAAATATTTATTTCAATATTTAAATATTTTATTTCAATGTCACGTTTTTTTCTGGTGAGTAAAATATAATATTTTTGCACTGCATATACACACAAGTTCAAACACAAAGAAATAGAGAGTCTAGTTATGGTTGACTATATAGCATAGGTCATACTATTTTATTACGGAGTCATATTTTTCCAATGTTGAAAATTTGATCAGACACTTCTAGAGAAAAATTTCAGTGTTGACTGTTGAATGAAAATTATTTTCTTTGGCGCGTGGGGACTTCATACAATTTGTTGAAAATTTCGCACAAAACCACCTATTTAATAAGAGAATTTCTTAGGAGTTTTTTTGAGCTTCTGTGTCACTCTCTCTCTCTCTCTCACTTTCTCTCCCTCCAAACAGCTTCTTTCTTCCATTTTTGGTTGGAGATCGATCAGACCCGGCATGGCGGACGCGTTGACAGAAGATCAGGTTGCCGAATTCCGGGAAGCCTTTTGTATGATTGACAAAGATTCAGATGGTATGTTCTGTTTTGTACCTCCTTATATAAGCTTAGTTGTTGGTTACTATGTGTTTGTGTGTGTTTTTATCATTTTTTTTGTGGTGTTTGAACAAAAGTAATGAAGTATGGGTTGTTCTGTTGTTCATTACACTTATAATATTTCTTGTTCAAAAGATTATATAACTATTCCATTGAATATCACGAATCTGTCTAATGTTGCAAATATATATATATATATATATTTCTTGTTCAATAGATTATATAAGTAATCCATTGAATATTTTGAACCTTGTCTAATGTTGCAAACATAAATATATACCGTGTGTATACATACATACATACATACATACATATATATATATATATATATATATATTATTTCTTGTTCACTATATTATATAACTAATCATGTATTATTTTTATTTTTTCTATCTTTTAAGATTTTTTCCATCTGGATTCACATTTTTCTTTAGTATATATATATGTTGATAAGTAAAAAAAATTGCAAATAAAATAACACCCCTACAATGAAATTTATATCGGAAAAAATAAACATCTTTTTACAAAAACATTAAAAAACTCTATGGAGTATGGAGTTTTTTTTTAATTTATTATTCATTATGGGCTTAGTTCGGTTGTTAGGGGCCCCTTCCATTTGGGCCTTTGTCAATTAGACTCGGAAACGAAAGCTTAAGATTGGGTTCTGGGCTTGGATCTAATTGGGCCAGGTTTCAGGCCTTTTCCTCAAATATATATATATATATATATATATATATATATATATATATAATGAATATGGTTGATGAATGTGTAGGGTACATTACAATGGAAGAACTAACAGCAGTGATCCAATCGCTGAATGAACATCCAACAAAAGAAGAGGTACAAGAAATGATAAGCGAAGTTGATATTGATGGGAATGGGACAATTGATTTTGAGGAGTTTGTGAATATCATGGCAAGAAAAATGAAGGTAATTAAATTATTTATTATTTTCTTTTAATTAATCAGTACTATTTATTCAAAAAAATAAACGTGGTAATGAGTGTCTCACCAAATGTGGCTTCTTTAGGACAACGTAGCCGAGGAACTAAGGGAAGCTTTCAAAGTATTTGACAGGGATCAAGATGGATTTATTTCAGCCAATGAGGTGACTATATGGCCCACTACATTTTCCTAATATTCATTATTTACACAAAATATAATTAGTGTGTATATATAATATTTATATTCCATTTTATTGTAGAATGATCAAAACAAAACCAACTCCATTAGAAAGCACAAATACTGCTACTTCTGAGTCCTATCAGTCTCATGTCTGTATCGAACACCGATACTCTAATCAAATATGTAGTGTATATGTATATATATGATCCTAAAGTGGATATATAACTATTTTGATTTCAAAATTTATAGATATTGCCTGTCTAACAATTGAAAAAATGTTTGCAGTTGAGACATGTAATGATAAATTTGGGGGAGAGATTGACAGACGAAGAGGCTGAACAGATGATCAGAGAAGCTGATCTAGATGGAGATGGTTTAGTGAGTTTTGAAGAGTTTGCGAGAGTGATGATGATTACATAAAAAGATGATCACACAGAAGACAAAATAAAAGAAAAGGATTTAAAATATACCTTTTTTTTTCTTTTGTCATTCTTGCTATCATAAATGATGATGACGATAAATACATGAATAATAAGATTTATTAATAATTTTTTTTTGTTTTTTAATTTTTTTTAATTTTGTGATGTGTTTTTTTTCTTCTTCTGAGTTCGTAGTTTGAAATTTGAATTAATGTTCGAGATTTACTTCTAGAATTGACTAGTATAATCAGTCAAATGTCACGTTCACAATCGATTGACAATGACAATCAAATCTTTGATATCAAAGGAGACTTATATGTAGTTTCTATACATTTTGTACAGCTTAATTCCTTTCATACAATGTGTATTACATATGAAATTAGTGTTTTGAAAAAAATGTGCATGATATCATTGAATTTTGGTTTGCGGTGGTTGTCGAATTGACTTTATGTTATGGTTTCAAATTCACTGTGTTCTATTTTTTTTTTTTTCTTCTTGCATCAATTTCACATAGAATTTTTTTTTTCTTAGTTAATAATTACATATACATGTCTTTACTGAGATTCAAACTTTTTACTTTTTTTTTTTTTTTTTTTAAATTAGGGATCTAATACAACTAGTTGGTAATTTCACATTAAGTAGTAATATTAGGTTTGCTTAATGCATTTTGGTTAAATTTAGCTGCCAATTAATTTGTGCATTTCATCATGAGTCATACAAGTTAACAACCACTAAAATTTGTATCTCACTACCATTACAAAGAGAATATCTGTTGCTACAAGAGACGATATAATTCCATACATATAACTTCAACATTATATAAATGTCTAATGTTTAATTTAATAAGTCTCAGAAGTTTAAATTTTTACATTACAACAAGCTCACATATCCAATTGCTCTTTTGAAAACTTGAACTCTCGACTTACATTAAGATTATGAATCTCTAAAAATTTGTTAGACTTTAGAAAGCCGAATTCGATAACAATGTAAAAATATGAAAATTCTTCCACGGGTAACAAAGGTTTCGACTTTTGGAGAAGCCACAACCCTATGCCACCATTGCCACAAAAAAAATAAAAAATAAAAAAGAGGTTCTTCGCATGAAACCAAGGTTAAAACCCACAATTTTTAACTAAAAAAAAGAAGGTTAAAACCCACAATTTTTTTTTTTTGTTTTTGTTTTTGAGTTGGGCTAAAATTACATATAATAAATTTTTTTTTTTTTGGGTGGGCTTGACCAAAACACGCACATAGATTCGTCCTTATTTGGGGGGTGAGACGTTGTTGGCACGTCGCTATTGAAGACCGTCAACATGAAGAAGGTTCGAAACGGGACTCTGAGTTCCAAAAGGCTGTGATTGTGAGCTTGTTTCTGTCATTTAGAATGCAAATAGACCAAAAATAATTGAGCCCAAACCCAATTCATTTTGTTTCTTGGATCCATTATAGGTCCAACTAATACTTAATCCAAGGTTGATAGGCCCAATAGAATTAGGACAAAGGATCCTACCGAATCGAATTAGAAAAGAATTAGGAAAAATAAATTATTGAGAAATAGGTAAATGGGGAAAGGTAATATGTGATATAAATTCTTTAAAAAAAATTAGTAAATACATATTATTATTATTATTTTTTCTTTCTAATTCTTTTTCAGATCACATTATTAATTTGACCGGTGATTGTGGGTTGATGGAAAATTGTTGTAGTCAAAAAAATTATTTCGGTCGCCTAGGCCTCTAATTTAGGCCCAAAATTTTGTATTACTAAGGCCTCTCAAAATTTTGGACCTCACATTCCCTTAGGACCTCAGAAAATATTGGGTCTCTCATGACTGGTGACAAGACCGAATAATATCCACAAATCTGGTTTAATAATTGCACTTAATCACTCACTATAGAGAGTAGATAGACTAGAATGGGAGTAGAACAAAAAGGGCTTTTTTTTTTTCCCCTTTCTGAGAGAGCCTTAACCCAGATCTTGCAGTATATAATGGATCCAAAAAAAAAAAAAAAAAAAATGAATTGGGCCCAAATCCAAGCCCATCATGCAATTTTGGCTCCACCATCTCCTCTACTTGGAGAGCCGGTACTCTATCTCCAAGACCAACAATGATTGAGCCCAATTCAAATTTTTTTTTGGATCCATTACAGAGGTCCAATTAATACTTAATCCAAGGAGATGGGCCCAAGCTTCAAACCCATATGATGTTAACCGGACCCATTTTAGGATTGGCTTTGAATATATTGTTTCTAAAGCTTGCAAATTCTAAGTTGGATTTTAGGGTCAATTGTGTTTATAGCCTCTCTTTTTCAGATCACATTATTAGTTTGACAGGTGACCATCCACTTGGCAAACTCGGACTTGAAGGCGGTATCAAACTTAATTTTGTAAGTAAAATTGATTGTCGAAGCCTATACAATTTGATTTTATTTTTTGGTGCCTTCGAGCATGCTTTCAGCAGTGGTACATACCGTGCTCATTAGGATTGGCTTTGCAAATATTGTTTCTAAAGCTAGCAAATTCTAACTTGGATTTTAGGGATGGACTGCGGGTCAAGTGTATCTGTAAACTTTAATTTTAAGATCATATTATTAATTTGACACGTAAGTATGCGTTGTCCCTCTCTTTTTTCTAGCCCACTTGACATTTGACTCGAGAAATTAACGTAAACATTCATAACTTCCGCTCCATCATTGTCACATCTTACTAATGGATAGTTCTTGTTCTTAAATTTTTCCAGTAATGAGTCAAAGTGTAAATTTAATAGTCGACTAACCAAACAAGTTGCAGGGATCAGTCAAAACCGAATACATTGAACTTGGCCTTGGTACGACCTATACTGATGGCTGGTACCAGGTGGTCTTGCCCAAAGGTTACGTTGTAAATTACGCGGTAAATTGCACGGTTCAAATTTGCAGACTAGAAAAAAAAGGACGTGAAGTGAAAAAGATTAAAGTGTGTGTGTGTATATATATATATATATATTATGTCGGTGGTGTCAAGGTCTTTTAGAGTACTCCATATTTCTGAGTTCTATTCTCGCACTTTACACAGTGAGAAGGGCTTGGGTTCGGTTTGTTTTTAATTTTCTTCTCCAACAACATAAGGGAAAAGATTACGGATCTGACTCGCGATTTGATTTGATGTCTATTTCACATTTTAATTAAATATCTTTTAATTTCAAATTTAAATAGTGGATTAGTGCCCCAAACATTTTAAAATAGATTGAATATAGATATTCATTAATGCATTTTAGATCTGAATTTACACTGAATAAAATGGATGAAGTTTAAGTTGAGCTTCAATCTAGTTTAAGTTTAATAATCAAGTTGCAGGGATCAATCAAAACCGAATACATTGAACTTAGCCTTGGTACGACCTATACTGATGGCTGGTACCAAGTGGTCTTGCCCAAAGTTTAAGTTGTAAATTACGCAGTAAATTGCACGGTTCAAATTTACAGACTAGAAAAAAGTGACAAAGATTAAACGTGTCGATAGTGTCAAAGTTTTTTAAAACATTTCATAATTAACTATCGAACACATACAATCACCCATGCCAGGTGCACTAGGCATTCAAAGTAGTCACTTTTTGAATAAAAAAAATTCAATTTTTTGACCTATTTTTGAGTTCTATTATCGCACGTGTTACACAGTGGGACCTGTGGTAGGTTTGTTTTTAATTTTCTTCTCCAGCATTATAAAGGAAAAGATTACGTTATTTGATTTGATGTCTATTTCACCATATTTGAATATATCAAAATAAACAAGATCAGGAGTTGAATTTACAAGTTCATATACGGATTATTAGGCATTGAACTATTCGACCATGACAATGAAACAGGACCAGGAGTTGAATTTACATGGATCTTCTCCAAATCTGTTTCATTTTTTCTATCCCATGTGTCATGATAAGATAGTTTCTTTTTTAGTGTATAAAAGACTTTCAGCCCACGAAACAAGAAAAATGAAGAGTAACAAAATGATCATAGTGGTAAAAAAGACACTGCAGATGTTCGTGCCGTACATACATACACCGTGTTATAGGAAGTCCTGTACGGATTCATGAAGGGTTTAGTGGGGGCAGCCTCCCTCATTGTAATTTTTTTCATTTACAAAATTATTTATAGATTTTATAAAAATCTTAAAAACGTTTTTACTTTTTTGTGAAAATTTTAAATATGTCCCCACTTAATTTCTAATGATACCATTATACATTATTGTTGTTCAAAATCTTCTCTCAAACAAATCTCTAGGTCCGTCACTATACAGAGTTATATAATAAAATTCCACAAAAGTTCTGAGTCACACTAAGCATTTTTTGATGTCATATTTGCCCTTCCATTTTTTTTTTTTTTTCACTGCCCTTCCATATTAGCCTATAGGACTCTTTAGTCTCTCATGTTCTCCGTCTTCGCCAGTTCCGTACCACTCTTTCACCTTGTCTACGTCTCTTTAAAGATTCTCAATTTTTTCTTCCACTTGGTTCAAGTTCTCATTGATCACCAAGACAACTCCACATTCCCTTATATATATATATATATGTACACCTTTTAAATTTCAGAACTTGGCCCTCTTCTCTTCTCACGGCCATTGCCAAACTTTGTCCGCGTTCTCTCAAATGGTGCGGTTACTGGCTGGGGAAGAGGGAAGAGGGAAGAGGAATTTCGGTGAATTTCACAAAGTTTTGAGCTTCGAAGGTTACAAAATCGCTTAATCTCGATTATTTTCATTTAATTTTCTATCTTTAATCAAAGTTCATATCATCAATGAACATATTCAAAGGGCTTTTAAGATTAGAGCTGTCAAGTGCAGAAAACACTCCTAATAGGCTAATATACACTCACCTAGCATTTTTACCATATTTAAAAAATGTGCAAAATACACTCATATTTTTTTAAAATTGTGCGAAAACACCCTTCAATCAGAAATCTAATATAAAATAATATTGTAATACATGTTTTACCCTTTTACTCTCCCGAAAATACCAAAAGGGGGTGTGTATACTAATAATCTCGTAGTATAAGGGTATTATGTGCACATTAACTATATTTAATTCACTTTTAAGGATTTAAATTTGTTATCACATTTGTCAAATTAAATTAATGTACAATATATTATATGGAATGAAAACCTCAATTCCTTTTATAATTATAAATATATATATATATATATATATATATATTCTCAATTATATTTTAATATAATTATCATTTTTCATTACATATATAATCAAAAAATTAAATTAAAGATATTATTCATTATATAAAAACAATATACATTTAATTTTTTAAACTTTAAAATTTGCAATAAATTTTCACAAATGAGTGTTCAATCACCTAATGTCATTATACTATTCAAATCACGATAAAATTACGTTT